GCAAGTCGTGAGGACGCGGGGTGAAGGGGGAGTGTTGGTGCTCAGGGACGAGCGTAGGGAGACAGGGAACCTCGCGAGGGGGTGGGGGCAAGGCGCAGGCCCCTCCCTTTCCGTTTACAGCCGCCACCCAACGCAAAGCAGGGCCGCAGCGAGGGGTTGGGGCTAAAAGGCTGTGATGAGTGGGGCGAACCCTGGGAATGACGGGGCTCCTTCGTTCTCACAGGAGGTGAACATCTAGAGCAAAGAGCAGGGCAGCAGGGCGAGGGCAGCGCCAGGCGGCAAAGTGAGTACCCGAACCCCGAACGGGGATTCGCTCTCAGCTCCCCAGTGCGATTCTCGCACAGATACCTCAGACGAGTGCCTTTGCTCCATTTCCTCCGCTACAAAGGGGTCCTCTTGATCCCTGCCTTGTCTACACCCCATCCTCTCAACCCCTTCCCTTGCCCCATGCTTCTGGGTGCAGCTGGCTTTCTGTATAACTCAGAAATGATTACATTTACGCCACGCTCAGCTGGAACACAATTACATCCATAGGTAGAAGGAACAAGATTCCAGGACATTCAACCTGCAACACACAAACACACCGCCCCCTACACCCCCCACCACCACAGAGGACACCTCACAGTGCCTGACTCCATATGCCCAACGGTCAGCCCTTGTACTTTCACCTTCAAGTTCTTACAAGCAAGAACTAGACTCATATTCCTTCGACCTTTGTCAGAGCTGCTCAGGTTAAGTTTCTCAGCTCATGCTCCTCACACCTTCTCTTTCTCCCCCAGCATGGATCACAGAAACAAAAGTCTTCTTGACAACATTGAAGAACTCCATTGGAACCAAAGTAAGAGAATGAGCCTGACTCCAACACTTCCTGTGATTAAGGAAGAAGAAATCTCTGAAGAAGACATGGGTGATGTGGCCGCTGGAGGAGCCTCTTGGTTGAGCGAACCAGGTGAGGGGACCAGCGGGCTTGAAAATGTCCCAAGCACCCCCGACAAAGCACCAGATTTCGAAGACTTGCTCAAAGAGGTACTCAACAAGAAGGTGGTTGATTTGGTGCAGTTCCTCAGTGTCAAGTATGTAACAAAGGAGCCTGTCACAAAGGCAGAGATGGTGCAGATGGCTGTCAAAGAGTACAAGGACTACTTCCCTCTGATCTTCAAGAAAGCCCGTGAGTGCTTAGAAGTGGTCTTTGGTGTCCATGTGAAGAGAGTGGACCGCACAAGTCGTTCCTATGCCCTTGTCAATATGCTCGACCTCACCTACGATGGCATGCTGAGTGGTGACGAGGGCATGCCCAAGACCGGCCTCCTGATACTCATTCTCGGTGTAATCTTCATGGAGGGCAACCGTGTCCCTGAAGATAAGATTTGGGAAATGCTAAACATGATTGGTGTTTTTTCTGGAAGCATGGATTTCATCTATGGGGACTCTAAGAAGCTCCTCACCAGAGATTTAGTGCAGGAAAGGTACTTGGATTACCACCAGGTGCCCAACAGTGACCCGGCCCGCTATGAATTCATGTGGGGTCCGAGAGCCTATGCAGAAACCAGCAAGATGAATGTCCTTAAGTTTTTTGCCAAAGTTAGTGGAAAGGATGCCAGCTCCTACCCATCCTTGTATGAGGAAGCCTTGAGAGATGAAGAAGAGAGAGCCAGGGCAAAAAGTGCCTCTGCAGCCAGTCCAAGTACCACCAGCAGCAGCAGCAGCCGCCCCAGCCCCAGCCGCAGCTGTAGCCCCAGCCCCAGTGAATTCTAAAGTTTTTTTAAAGAGGATAGTCAGTTTGGAATGCTAAAGTGGGGCTGGAAGAGCACAGTAGATCTTGGTGTTCCTGTTCAATAGTCTTCTAATATTGTAACTTCTAAATATACAGTTTTTTGCATTGAGAATCTAAGTTTATATCTTGGTCATTTATACCTATCATTTCTAAAAAGTTTTTTCTCTTGCAAAACAAATTAGGAAGGCTTCCATCTATATTTGTCATATGGAAGATAACATAACTTTGAAATAGCAGTTTCCTTGGAAATTTGAAGGAAAAGTTCAAGAAATAAATAAAACATGGTTAATTCTTTAATTCTTGTATCCCTTTTACTTCAGTAGAATTAAGAGGGTTTTACCTGGGTTTGGTTAGCTTTTTCAAAAGTGGAAGAGAAATCTTATAACAACTTGCTCACACTGGCTTACTTAGTCCCCAGGCATTAGTTCTTCATCTGTTCTTTGACGAGTTTGAATACTCATGTAAACAGATAAAACCTCTGCTTAGAATCATAGAGTGTAAGAGCTGCAGTAACATTAGGAAAATAGTGAGATTCCCTTTAGAGCCGAAACTCCAAAACACCAAACCCACTCCAGAGTCATTTGACTCAGAGCAGTCCTTTAGAACAGTGAAACTTCCCTCAGTTTGCAAGGCTACAGGCCTACGTAAACAGCATCACCTTTCCCCTGGGGAGCATCAGGTGGATTCAAAGAGCCAACCTTCTGGTTGTAAGTGTAAGCAGGCTGATACTTAATCTACTGGCCACCAGGACTCATGGAGTCAGACCAGCACAAGCAGGAAACAGCAGATTCCATGGGAGTAGATATGGCACCTGGGGATTTTGAAACACTTGCTTCAGATTAGCAGTCTATCTTTTTAACACTAGGCCACCTCTCTTTTAAGAAGTAAAAATCAAGTAAAGAGATGAGAGCAGTACAACATAAATGCCCTGAACAACTCCATTTGGTTCAGGCTGGAAAAGGAAATTCCTTCTGTGGGAGGTAATTGTAAATTAAACTGGTAGGGGCAGGGCATGATTCTCTGATTATTTAACAGATGAGAGGAAAAAGCTGGAATGGTAATCTGCTTTCTGGATCATGGATAAACCAGAGAAGTCACTTTGCACAGGTATGGAAAGCCTTCTGCATTCTTGTCCCAGTGCAGTTAACAAGCTAGGAGTTTTATACATGTCATCTTCAAGATTTCCTAATAATGGCTGCCCTTTGCTTGAAACAGAGTCCAAAAACCACTAGGTTAGCACTCTTTTCCCATAGACTGGGTAAGCTAGAGTTCACTGCATTAAAATGTCACTATAAATGGGTTTTGTTGGGTGTTACTTGGCCAACCCTAAGCAAAAGCTAGGGAACTCTGGTGGCCTAATGGTAAGAAGCTACATTGCAATGCTAAAGGTAGCCATTTCTAATCCACCAGATGCACCATGGGAGAAAGGCAATCTCCTCTCATGCTTTTAACCATGAAACTGAAAACCAACTGGAGGAGCAGAGCTATAGGTCTGTTCTGACTCTGGCACACAACATAACAAGCAAAGGCTAGATTGGGGTGGGAGGTGAAGTGAGAAGGAATGCTTAAAAGACTGTTCTGGATGGAAGAGCAGGTGGGAGGGCGAAGTGTTGCTTTTTGGCTTAAATTCTAGCAGGTTTGTATTGAATCAGCTGGAGAAGATGCCCCACACTCAAATCCATAAGGGAATATTTATGAAGCAGCTTTTTTGCATGCCATTTTCTAGAGCACTGCTTATTTTTTGAGGTGTCCTAAGTAACATTCTCGGGGTCAAAGTAATATTTAATATCACTTTAATATTTATATCTAAGGTCAAAATATTATTTAAAATAACCACCGTCCATTAAATAACAGATACATGCCTGCAGTCCTACAAAAACCAGGACTTGAAACTATTTCTTTTCAGCTAACTGGCCTGGTGGAAAATTGCATATGCACCCCGGGTAAGCTGAGTCAGAATCTGAAAGTTAACAAAATCCTCAGCTGATTCATATCTCTCTCCCTCTCTCTCCTGGGGACCTATAAGATTCAGCTTCCCTATCTGTATTTCTGGAGTAGAAATGGATATTTTAAGCAGGAAGTTGATCTGGAATGAACCAGTTCAGAGCCTTAGTTCTAAATCCACTGCCATCAATTAGATTCCAACTCATGGGAAAACTTCCATCAGGTTTCCAAGGTTGTAAATCTTAATGTCAGGAGATTGCTCATCATTCCAATTGCTAACCTGCCAGTAAGTAGCCCAAATATTTAACCTACTACACCACCAGGCATTACTTAAAGAGGCCGGAGTGAGAAAAGCAGTGGAATGGGGGTAGATTCCTGGTCTGGTTCAATCTGGAACCCAACCCATAACCCTCCTAGCCTGAGACAGACCTCTGGTCTCTTGATGCCATTCTCATTACTCCATAATATCTCTCAGGTGACGAAACAACTCTTCAGCCAACGTACATGCTTAAAGCAGGTAAGTGGTGATGAAAACCCAAATTGGGGGCAGTGGATTTATTTAGTCTTAGAGCCACCCAAAATTTTGCTTTTGTTTGTTATAATTACTTTAAGTTACTGTAAAATGGATGTGGGCGGAATGGGAGCAGGCTACAGACCACTATCTGACTTCTACTTACTCCACAAAGGTATATCCCCAAAGGGATTCCATGAAAAATGTCCCCATCTACAACATCCACAGTGCAAAGCCAGTTCCTATAAGGTCAGATATGGTCTCCCACTCTCTTGCACCTGCCTCTACTAATTCCAGCAACAGCCTTACTGCTTTTCGTTTTCAGGCCTTTTTCCCCCTTCTGTCTCCTTTCATGAGTTTCTCCAAACACTTTGGCTCCCAGGGGCTTTTTTTCATACCAGTAAGACTAGGAAACCAAGGGCTTAGCCTTTCAAGTGTTTTGGTACCACTGCCGAGGATTGTAGTGTCATGGCTAGAACTGAATGTGGAACAGGGGCGGGAGTTGTAAAAGGATGTATGATGATACATACATTTACCTCCACACATTCTCTTCCACAAAGACCTCTCTTGCTGCACCTCTGGCCAGAAAGAGGGAGTCCTCTTTGGAGCTTTTTCTGTCTCTGGGCCTCCTGCACTTTGGGGACTTGGCCTTCTTAGAAATTAAGCCATAAGACAGATGAGGGGCTAAAAAAAAATGGAGGCACTCATCACTGTATGATTTATTCTTTGCATTTTTAGCTCTTTAACGGAACTGTTGTTATTTCTATTTCAAAACCTTCTAATGGTTTATCTATGTTAAGCTTTTGGAAGAGATAGGGTGGTTTGTATTTATTCCATTTAGGCCAAAGCCAGAAGCTGTGAATGGTATTTGAAAACCAAGGTTGGGTTGCCAAATATCTTCACTGCCATGTTGTTGTTGTTGATTGCCCTCAAGTCGAGCACGACTCTTAGCGACCCTATGAATAAAAGGCCTGAAGCCCCTCTACAGTTATCGACATTTATCAAAGTCCATAGAGTTTCCAGAGGCCACTCACTGCCATGAGGGTGCCAGTATTTATAGGTTTTCTCTATAATGTAACTGGGAAATATATGTATGGTTATACGTGCACAAATCTATCCATCCATCATCTACTTGTGTATATATCTGTATCTATATATTAATATATAATATATTTTGGACATGTGGTCAGGAGAGACTAGTCCTTAGAGAAGGACATCATGCTCAGGAGGGTGGAGGGACAGCACAGGAGATGAAGACCCCAGATGAGACGGATTGATACAGTAACTGGGGCATTGGGGTTTGCTGTGTCAGAGTTAGTGAGACTGGCTCAGGACAGGGAAAGGTTCAGAGCTGCTGTACATAGGGTCACTATAAGCAGACAACAGCACATAAGGACAACAACATACTCTTTTGGTTGTTTTTATTTAAGCCTCTTGTTTAGAGTCAACAAGACCTTAGGAGGGCCTTTGTATTTAAAAGTCAGTTGTTATTATATTTTGGAGGAACATTCTTCCAAGTGGTACAGCACTCTTCTGTCAATATGCTGTAATGAGTCTACCTGGGGCTGCTGTGATGTTGAACCTTGCGCCACTGGGGTATCAAATGGCATAAACATTACTCTTATTGGACAGCATTTGGTAGAGCTCCCAGTTTGATACAGGCTTGGAAACAGGAGTGGCATCCACTTCCTAAACAACATGTTTTTGGAAACTCTATGAACTTTTTGAGAAAAAGTAGTTATAGAAAGGCTTCAGGTCTTTTGTTTATACGGTCGTTGTGAGTCGTCCTTGACTCTATGTGTCTGTGACTCATAGCAGTCTTATGTACAATAGCTCTGAACTCTGCCCTGTTTTGAGCTAGTCTCACTGACTCCGACATGACACACCTACCCCCACTGACCTTGGTACTGTATCAATCCATCTCATCCAGGATCTTCCTGTCCTGCACTGACCCTCCACCCTTCCAAGCATGATGTCCTTCTCCAAGGACCAGAACGTCCTGGCCACATGCCCAAAGTATGTGAGATGGAGCTTCAGAATCCTAGCCTCCAAGGAGAAACTTGGTTTCACCCTCTCTACAACAGAACTATTTGTTTTCTTGGCAGTCCATGATATGTTCAAGACTTTTCTTCAGCACCACAATTCAAAGGCATCTATACTCCTTAGTCATTATTCAGCTCTCTGATGTATAGCAAGTAACTGCAAAGACCATGGACTGGGTATATTAGAATGTACATTTAATATACAGGACATTAATATATATATATTATATAATATATATGTATTTGTTGTAATGTACCATAGAGTTTGAACTGACCCATAGTTATCCCTGCAGCAAGTTTTCAAAGGTAGTTACATGGGATGAGATTGCTCATTTTTCTCTTTAGGAACAGCTGGTGGATTCTAAGTAGGAGACTTTGGGAAGCTGATGGATTCAAAGCATATGCCTGCAGGATTACAGTGCAACTTCTTGCAACTAAGCCACCAGAGCATGCAGTCCCTCTTGATGATAGATAGATAGATAGA